AAATAACTCATACTTGCATTAGTAAGTAGATTTGAAATAGTAAATGATTTAAGAGATATAAACGATCGAAATCAATAGCTATTTTGGCTTGGTGCGAGCAAACATGTCATGGATTTTGTGAACCAATGATTAATTTTTATCAATGTAATTGTAAGAAATATCCAGGTTTTGAATATTCTGACACTATCAAGGGGTGTCTTCGTAGGATATATCTATTGGACATTTTAAATATTTTATTTTTATGATATTTATTTGAAGCATGTCGTGGTTCAAACTATGGTTATGGTTGTAATGAATCATGTCGATGTGTCAATGGAAGATGTAATCGAAATGCCACACATATAAATGAAAGCTGCACTTGTGATCCTAGATATCAACCACCTCTTTGTAGTCGACTAATTGATCAATGTGGTAGGAATATTTCATTTGTGCGTCAATTTTTAGGTTATGAAGAAAATTTGTTTGTTCTTATCAGCAATTAATAGTCCATGTAATAATGCAACTGAAGATGGTGCGACAGATCCAAATAATGGTATTGCTATTTGTACTTGTAAACTTGGTTATGAAAGAGAAGACATAACAGGCAATTGTAAAGGTATGAATAATCAAAAAATAAGATTCAGTTTTGACGATTCAATTCAATTCATTTACGTATACAGATATTGACGAATGTGAAATTAAGACAGATAATTGTAATTCAGAAAGTTCAATTTGTAGCAACACTATCGGAAGTTACAAATGTAATTGTACAAGTGGTTATCAGGTCCGAACAATTTTTTGTTTCGAAAAGTTCAAAAGTTAATAGGTTTTGTTGTATAGTTTATTAGTGGCTCATGTGTTGATATCAATGAATCTACAAATCCGGCAAGCTGTGCCAATTATAATAATGCATTTTGTGCTAACACTAGAGGCTTGTATGAATGTCGATGTAGCGCTGGCTTTTCAGTAGGAGGTATGTTTATAAAAGCATTAAAGTAAATATATCAAATTAACAAAATAATATTTTAAGGCGATAAAACCCAAGTATATAATAATATCTTAAACACAAATAATTTCTGTCTACCAACGAACTATTCATCAGATTGTGAAAATCAATGTTCATTTCCCGCCTCATGTAGTTCAGCTACTGGACGATGTACATGTCCATTATCAATAATGAATCTTGTTATTTCCTCGGATCCAGCCAAATACACATGCCATTGTCCTGGTCATCCATTTGTTAATTACACTGGTGAAAAGTGTATTCCATCAAATAGTACCAGTAAGTTTTCCCATTAAATATCATATGATTAAATGCAGGACTTTTTGCGAATGACATGGTTCAATCTTTATTTTAATCTCAAAAGAATGTCTAGACTTTTTAATATCGAGTCATTCTCATCGTCAACTCTGAAAGCCGAGGTATATTATATAATATAATAAAATATTTATTTCTTAAGTATTTCAATTTTGAATAATAGATATCCAATACTTTACATAGAATGAATAAAACGTGTAATGAAGCATGTTTACAAATAAATAATATTAGGTAAAACACTAGGAAATTCGAAAGATATTGATTATTTCATATTTGCATATGTAGTGTACCACATGTTGATATTGCATATTACACTACTTTGAATATATCATTGAATTCTACTCAACGTGTACAACTTGTCATTGATTTTTATGATTATAATATTAGTATAAATAGTAGTTACGATGTAACAATAAGAATTATTATAAATGATTTATATGGAAAGCTGGGTAAATTTAATGATAAAACAATAAAATAAATAATATTTACTGATTTTTATGATAAATTTAGAAACTTTCTCAAGTAAACCACGACGCTGCGAAGAATGTATATTTTTGGCTACTGGCGTTTGTAATTTGACCGAAGATGCTTGCATATGTATTCCTGGTTTTGAAGGTAAATTTTGTTATGATCGTGCTGAAACAACAAAGCCAACTACACAATCATCATCGACTACAAATTGGACAATTACTGTTGTTATTATAAGTGCTATAGCTGGCCTAATGAATTCAATTATAAAGGTCGATATTTTAAGTTATAGTTAATCAACATAAAATATAGTACTCAAATGAAACGATTTTTATTGATATTTTCCTCTTACGTTTTACTCAAATTCATGATTATCTAAGCAAATAAAAAACAGTATGATTTTTTTGAAAATATTTCAATTATTCTAAGAAAAATCGTAACGCTTCTTTTATAAATATCACTAGACAATGAATAAAAGTAAATAAACAATTTTTAGAAAATTCTGAACTTGAGAATTCTAGAATATTTATTTTCCCATTTTCAATGTTGATCCGTAGAGAAGCAGGGTCCAAAGATCATTACTAAACGAATTGAACCATGACATGTTATTTTATCAGGCTTTTTATGCAATCAATTTAACTTGAGTTTTGTATAACAGTGAGTCATTGTTCACCAACATTTTGACAAATGGAGATCAAATTGTGTTAACTGGAATAGATCTTTTCTGTCGGCTTACGACATGTGGATGTGGGGTGTGGATGTTGGTAACTGATGGATCTTAAAGGCACTCCCGCCCCACAGCACCCATGCAAACACCCACACTCTTAAAATGATTTATTTAACATAGTTACAATGCTATTTGAAAAAAAATTGAATTCTGTTGGTACCAGTAGAATGCATGATATAAATATTTTAAGGTTTGCCAATGATTTGTGAATAAATCCATGTGATTAAGTTAAGGTTTTGATCTATATTACTTTGATGAAATGCTAATATAGCTTATATTTTTGGATTTGGTTTAATAAATATTGTATTATTCCTTCGTTAAATGATTATCTTAAGATTAGATTTTCATTTTACTATGATACACAGAATTCATGTGGTTGAATGTCCAGCTATTTTGAACTTTATTCCCTTTTGGTGTTAAAAGAAAATCTTTGTCGAAAATTCTTTCACTTTTCATGAGCATTTCTGGTTGGTTTAATAGTTTTTATCTTATTTTCGTCTTGACTTAATTCTAAATATGTCAGTAATTTATTACAATTTCTGCAGCAATTGAGCGTTTAAAGACTATACAAAGAACTTTCAAATGGTATATGACAACTGTGTACATGTTCAGGAAGTCAGAGATGTTAGGTCGAAACGATGAAGATTAGGGAAGAATGCCCGAGATAATGCATTTCTCAGAATCGTCTTCACTAAAAATTAAAAATAACATATTTCATTTTCAGATTAAAGCTGTTTATGAAAGCATTATTAAATACGATATCTGACATCTTCAAGTTCATCTACAAACATCAGACCATTTTTGTTACTTGTGATTATATGTTCTTCATATGCTATCTCTTGATGCATGATCTTCATTCCGGATTCACCGAATTGTGACACATCTTAAAGAAATCAAAGAAATTGATAGCAAATGTTATTGTCTAATGTCTATCTGATATAATCTTTGTTATTTACTCTTATTTTATCCTATTTTTCTCTTTCTTTTTGTGTCCTTTAATTCCAATCGTAGCACTTTTGAATTTTTTTCCGTGCGGAACTGGGAAGACGATCGTCTTAGTCTATGTTCTCTAGAGTTTCTGACCATTTCCTCACGACTTATGCGATTATTTCTTCGAATCTGTGTGTTCTTTTCTCGAAATTTGAAGAAATTCACAGTAGTTATTAACAGTTAAATTATCAATTAAGGACAATAAAGATCTTTATTATTCAGCTGGCGTTGATTACTCTAGTTTTAAAATCGTCAAACAATTGAGAATTATAGAAAAAAAAACTGCTAAAATAATCGTTAATTAAAATTTAGTCGAAAATATCTTTATACGAAATATATTTAAATAATGTTGGGGACACTATTAATTAGACATTGACTATAATAATTGTGTGTATCATGAATGAATTAACTTTAGTTTTTCTCAACTGTAATATAATGCGAAGATAGCCTAACTTATCATCTATCGATTCGCAAAAGGTCGACATCGATAACTCTTTGCGTTCAGAAAGTATAAAGATTTTTTTGAAATCTGCTCACCAAATTTTTTCAAAATCTTAGCAGATAACACATCTTGCCTACTATACGGTTTTAGTGATCTTCGTTTCGGTCACGTAATTTATCAACCTTTGAAGTTTTCTTTTCTACAAAAAGCATGATCGTATGAATGTGAGCATAGATGTTGTTGTTTTTCAACAACACCTTTACACCCACATCTTTTTAGAGAGACACTGTACCTTCAATTGTATAGACTTAGCCTGGACCAATATAAAAACATATATACGTGATACAAACATCAAGTTTACTTTAATTGAAGCGAGCAAACTGGTACAAGAACGATTTATGGCTTAAGAACGACGAAAGCAACCGGTTACGTTAAACAATATGAGATAATATGTAAGAAAGCCGATATTTATTTTCAATAAATGGAAGAAGACCTAAATGATCATGACGATGATTATAGTATCTCCAGTGCGGCTGATGTTGATGGGTTATGACTTGTGCAGTAAATTTACTTAAATATTTTAAAATTCTTTTCAGCTGACCACTTTGGATGCAGAGGATTATTCTAACGAGAAGAGCAATACAATAAAGGATGAAGAGAACTGTTTCTGAAGATGTTAATTCATTATCATCAAAATAAGTTCAACGTATGACTTTTGATAACATTTTTCAGTAGAAAGAAACATTCCGAAGGTTAGTAAACTATGTGACCAAGATGAAGACCACTAACAGCTTGTCGCAGGCAAGATGTGATGTCTGCAAAGATTTTGAAAAAATTTGGTATTTAGCTTTCAGAAAAATCTTGATACCTTTTGAACACAAAGAGAGTTATTGATGTCGACCTTTTACGAATCGATAAATAAGAAATTAGACTACCTTCTCATTATATTGCACTTGAGAAAGTGTGTTGTTTCCAAAGAAAATTAAGCTCATCTTCGAAACTCACGACATATCTATGAAGAAAAGCAACTGGAATTTTTCATTGACTTTGTAAAAAGATAGAGCAATGCCTACTCTAGATAGTACAAAAAGTTCAAGTTAGTTCTCTCTTTCTGTTCTAAGATTATTCAAAAAATATACATGGACATTTAACTCTGAAGTAGATATTAAATGTACATTGTGATAATGTACTTCTGTTTTGGCGATTATCAGGCGATTAATTTGCTCGTTGAAAGTTTTGCTCAAATCATTCTTGCTAATTTCAGCTACACCTATACCAAGTGAACAAGTATTTTCAAGAACATCTGTGATTTTCAATGCTAAATGAACAATGTTATTACCGGAGAAGGTTGGGAAAATTCAAATGATCCATGATAATAATAATTTTTTCTAACCGACCTAAGTTTTTTTTGTACATTTTTTCTAGTCATTTACTTTTTTGATGAATGTCTATGCTGTCGTTTATCGTCCACTGCAATATTATATATGTATTTTATTTATCGTATCAAGACGTAAAATAAAGTTGTTTTACATAGTTTTTTGAAACTATTAATAATAGTTTCAAAAATAAACAGATTTTTCTTATTCTCGAATATACAGAGCTGTTTTTAATCTTCCAGCTGCCATCGGCGTCGGCGAAAAAAAAATCAAGTTTTTACAGCCATCACCTCCATACAACTTATAGATTCAAATCAGTCGCTGCTGAGCATTTTAAAAGATTAAAAAATTGTTGCTGTGTCGCCGATCAACTTATCGGCTTACACCTTAATGTATACAATGTTCAAGAGCCGTATTGGTTCGATGCGTTATGACTCAAAAAATAATTGTTTTGAATGGGTCAAACATTTTCGTAATGGGGTATGAAGGACTAAAACATTCTAACGGGTTATCGAAAACTTTTTGACTAAATGTTTGCCCTTTCTTGATTCTCTCGAAAGTATTCTAGGCGAGTGAAAAACTAGGGTTGTAATAAGAATTGTATACCTCTTCTGAATGTGAGCTCAGAAATTGTGTATCTGTTTTTGCCCAAGAGTAGTGAGAAAATCGATGAACATCCTGAAAAATTGGTGGGAGTGGCGAACAAACAGGCATCTGTGACCCCCGTAAGTCTCTTTGCAAAAGTACTAAAAATGGTTTAATTTGTTAGTTTCGTAGAGCGAACACTTCTTTCCCAAATATTATGTTGAGCTAAAATGTAACTTTTATACAAGTGAAACTATAACCATTTTCACAAGAGCTAATTTCTGAGCACATATTCGGAAGAAACACAAAACTATGGTCATAACCTCTAGTTCTTTCACTCGTCTAGAATACTTTCAAGAGAGTCAAAAAAGGTGAAACATTTTGTGAAAAAACTTTTCGATACTCCGTTATTAACTTTCTATTTACCTTCTTCTGCTTTCCTACAACCTTATTTCACATTCCTTTTACTTTCTTTTAATTTTAAATTTTTTTTCTCTCACTTTGTACTTTCTTTTCTATTTTTTAAAAAGCTTTTCTTAACAGAATAGAATAGGAAATTTAGTGGCTTCTTCTACAATACCAAAAATAGAAAAGAAGGTTTTCTGACTGTCCTTTCTTTTTAGAAAAAAAGTGAAAATGCCATCTCTGAGTTCATTTCGTCTAGTATTTATATATAACGACAATTTTATCTTGTATATCATCAATACAGACGCTTCGGAATTTGTTTATTGATCGCTTTTATGTTCCTCGAACGTGTCGTTATAAAAGAAAGTTCTAATTTCAGCTCAATAAAGCCTTTATTTCATTACTTTTGATCAGCCGATCCCTCTACCCATAGTCTAATATTTCGCAGAAATATATAGTACATTTGATATTTTGACAATAATAGTTGTAACCATATCGGTCTTGCTGTTTCGAAACGGTCGACTTTACAACACAATATTTTGTGCTCTACTTTTAGCTTGAGAAAATATTCGAAAGAGAACAATAGACGACTCGCCACCAATAAATACTAAAGATCACGGCATTAACACCCAAGGTTTGCTTTGATCAAAGTGAAGAAAAAACATCCTACTGATTCATAGCTCGTTCATGATGCTTTAGGCAAAATGTCATGAATGCCTGCTAACGCTCAGTTTCAGCGAAGAGGAAAATCTAATATGAATGATAAACTCC